CATCCTTTCCTAATCAAGTAAGAATTTCTAGGAAAAAGGTTGCACTTCAATGCTAGATTCAGGTTCAGAATCAGCAGGTAGAGGTGCGTTTCCTGTATCGCTGAATAAGGGGCACGAGGCATTCTGGAAGTCCAGTCTGAAGCAAAAAAGGGTGATCCAGGAGTTCTTGTGCTGTTGCTCGCTCTAAAGGATCTCGTGTCAACATTCGTTCCAGGAAATCCCTTAAAACTGGAGAGGTCTGTGGAAACAAAATTTGATAGTTTTAAGACACTTCAGGTAGCCAGTTTCAACCACACAAAAAAGTTCTTCTAAAATTTTAAATTAAAGTTGCAATTGCTCCCAGAAGTAATCCAAAGTTCTTTTTCATAAACTTCCAATGTCAGAACAAACAACCAAGCATTGAACAGCAACAATAAAACTGTAATTATAGTTTATTTTGCTTTTTTTCCCCTGAATTCAGACTTATGAACACGGGCTATTGTACTTGCAATCTACATGCTCCAAATTACAGAATGTTGTACTTGGAACTGAGGAAACCCAGACTGATGTCTTACTTCAGGGGTGTCAAACTCAATTTCACTGAGGGCTGCAACAGCATTGCAGTTGCCCTTGGGGGGCCAGGTGGGTGTGGCCAGAGTGGGTGCAGCCTACTGGGTGGGTGTGGATGGAGTGGGTGTGGCCTACTGGGTGGGCATGGCCAGTTCTACATCATTCGCGTCAAGGGTGCCTGTGGGGCCTAGGCAGGAGTGGGACAGATCTGAGGGTCTCTGGCAGAAGGGGGTGGGACCGGGGCAAGTGCCAAGGCATGGTCCACCACGGCAAGTGCCAAGATGGCACCACAAAATTGTACATTGGCTCCCGGCCGGCCTGAGCCAGGGCCAAGGCAGCAGGGGCCATTCCCTCACTGTTTCCAGGATGGCTTCGCGGGCCTCATGAAACCACTTCGCGGGCCGCATTCGGCCCCCAGGCCTTGTATTTGATATGTCTGTCTTACTTTGACTACTCTGCCATCATACGCACATGGGTATTGCTTTCAGATCTTATACTTTGCTGTGAGGCCTAGGGACATGAGAGAATCTGATTACATAATACTGTCATCTAAATATTTTCCCAAATAATTCAAATCCTGGCTTGGTCACAAGGCTTCATGAAAGGCTTAGTACGGCGCTTTTTCCAAGATGACTTTATATAAATAAAAAGTGCTATAGAAGTATTATGATATAAAAATTAGATAAAGATACATGTTTTTCTCTCAATCTTTGGCAAAGATTTACAAACACACCCAACTATTAAATAGTAAGATTAATCCATTAAACCCCGCCAGTCATTTTTAAATACATTGTGGAAATGTTTTATGCCAGGCCTCAAGAAACCTGAAAATTTCACTGGAAATAATATTAGACATTACATACAAGAAGACAGATTCCAGCAATGTCTGAAAGGATTTGCGTCTGATGTTACTAAAGGCAATAAAAAGGAAAGGATAAAAGACAGAATACTGGAGCTTTTCAAAAACTGTGTCCTATATACTACTGGAGGAATTTATTTATATGATGATATCCTTTTAGAAAAGCAGAAATGGCATCAAATCTGATAAATGTCATATAAATTTTATTTCATATTTCCAAATTAACTCAAACTCATGCCACAGTACATTTGTTAATCTTTAAGGTGACACAAATCTATCATTTGAGAGTAAAATGCAATATGAATACATAGTTATTATTCTGAAGGACCTTTTAAAGTGCCAAAGGCATGATGTCTTTGCAATAAATTAGATAGAAAGAATATTTCCACACTTTTTTGAGGCCCATCTATGATGGTTACTTTCTAAAGGAAAAACCGTACTTCTTCCACTAGAAGAATTTTGTAGCTCTTCAATTTTCCCTCTTTTTAACAGAACTTTATACAAAGAGTAGGGAAAATAGAAAAAGTTGCAGATAAAATATGGATAGATTACACTATTATGTGGACTGCCTTTAAAATTGTGACATATCCTCTCAGAATTATAGCTGTGATCGTTACATGGTTGCAATTCTAAAATACAGGAATTCTATGAAGAATATTTGGCAAAGAATAAAAGGTTAGAGATCTCTTGGAGAATATAAGAAGTTCTTGTATTCTTCTTTGGTTATATGCTTCTCCTTCCATTTCCTGGGCCTGTCTCTTTCTTTACAGCATTTTAGAACGCTCATGTAGAAAGAATCATGTATAAGAAATGCATATAACCAAAAAGAATACAAGAACGAACTGAAGGAATTGTGCCAGGAAAGCTAAAGAAGAGAATCAGCTGAGACTTGTGGGAAATGCTTAAAATAACAAAAGAGGTGGTAGGAATATTTCAGAACATTAAAACTTGCATTTTACATCTGTCTTCCCTATGAAGAAAGAGAAACCCCTTGCTGTCCATCATTTGCCACTGATGGAAAGACAAGCAGACAAGCAAAGTTGATGGCAGAACTGCTAACTATAATCTTTGAAAATCTTGGAGAAATGGAAAAGTCCCAAAAGACTGGAGGAGGGCAAACACTGTTCTTATCTTCAAAAGAGGAAAGAAGAGGGTCCAAGAATTTAGACTTGTCAATTTGGTGCCTCTCCTGAATAGTGTTGTAAAATACATTTTTAAATAAAACATATTTATGAGCACTTGGATAGGAATGCAATGAGAGCCAGCATTTTTCACAAACAAATCATACCAGTTAAGTCTTATCTCATATTTGACAGACTTACTAACTTAATTATCAGGGGGATAGATAAAAGTAAACCAGCAAAACATTCAACTATGGTTCTCATAAGATCTTCATTAATAAAATGGCAAAATGAAGGCTAGATGATACAGTTGCCTGAAGGATTCATAGTAGGTTGAATGACTGAGAACATTTATACATGTCCCCACACCAGCTTTAGGAATATTCTCAATTGGAATACCACAAGTAATCGCTTGGATTTTGTACTGCCCTATATTTTTATTAATGACTTGGATGAAAGTCATGATATTGCATTTGCCCTTTAACTTGAGGTCTTTAGACAAAAGCTGAATAGCCATCTATACTCATACTCAAGCACCACTAGAGCTGTAAAATCCAGGATTTCATTTAAAATTTATTTTTTTACAGGCTTCTTTATTAGAAAAAATATATATCTTGCATTCACCACTAGATGCCAGCAACAGTCTGCAGAAGTCACAGTTAAGCTAAATTCTGCCATCTCCAGCTTCTGAACAGACCTTAGATCTATGTGGTTGTTCTCATAGGCAGGAGAGTGTTACCATATGGTACCATCACATTCTATCTGATGTGCAACTATATTTTAGCTCAGAGGAACTTGCAGATGAGACAAAGCTAGGGAGAATTGCTAACACTTTGGAAGACAGACTCAAGATTCAGGATCTTGGCATTGGTCCCTATCAACAAGATGCAGTTTAGTGGTGAGAAAAGTAAGATCCTGCACTTAGCTAGGAAAAACCAGATGCCCAGGTACGGGATAGGAAGTACCTGGCTCAACAGTAGGCCTATGAGAGAGATCTAGGTGTCCAGGTGGACCACTGCTTAAGTATGAGTTAGCAGTGTCCTTGCAGCTTCCCAAAAAAGCCAATGCAATCCTAAGCCGCATCAACAGAGGGATAATAACAAAATCACAGGAGGTGATAGTACTGCCCTATACCACTCTAGTGAGGCCACAGTCGGACTACTGTGTCTAGTTCTGGTCACCACGATACAAAAAAGATGCTAAGGCCTTAGAAAAAGTGCAGAGAAGAACAACAAAGATAAAGGGTCTGGAAACTAAATCGTATGATGAATGGCTAAGGGAACTAAGTATGTCTAACCCAACAAAGAGAAGGCTTAGGAGAGACTGATAGCAGTCTTCCAATACGTGAAGGGAAAGGGGACTTATTCTCCATAGCATCTGAGGGCAGAAGAAGCAGCAATTCAGTAGAAGCTTGTCAGAGGGAGATCCAACCAGAAAATAAGGAAGAATTTCCTGACAGTGAGAACGACTAATCAGTGAAACAGCTTGCCTTATGGAATTGTGGGTACCCCATTGATGGAGGTTTTTAAGAAAAGACTGGACAACTATTTGTCCAGAATGGTATAAGGATTCCTGCCATAGGCAGAGGGTTGTTCTAAAAGACTCCAAGGTCCCTTTCAGTCCTATGATTCTATGATCACCAGAGTTACTTCAAAGATGGTACTTATCACTTAGAAAGTCTCTCTAAGCCAGTGGTTCTCAACCTGTGGGTCGGGACCCCATTTGGGGTCGATCGACCATTTCACGGGGGTCGCCAAGCAAGGCTGTCTGCCATTTTTTTGTCCGCCATTTTTCCCCCCCTTTTCTGGCAGGTGCCTTACCTCCCTTGGGCTGGGCCAGCTGGTGGTCGGCCTGCTCCGTCTCTGCCGCTTGCCAGCTATGCCTTGGCCGGCACAGGGGGCGGAACCACGCATGCGCGGCGCTCCCGGGCAGGGAAAGTCCTCGACTTACGACCAGTTTAGTCCTCGACTTACGACCGGTTTAGTCCTCGACTTACGACCGGTTGGGGTCGCAGCATTAAAAAGGTTGAGAACCACTGCTCTAAGCACATAAATAGGAAGGCTGTATTATATGCTAGCTTATGTGTTAACTACATGAATATCTGCTTCATTACAAGTGCATACAATTTAAAGAGTGTAGATTTTATGGTCAGGTTCAGTTTCCCCAATAATGCACATTCGTACAACAGCAATAGGTAAGGACAGCAAGAGGAATCCCTTGCAAACATTGTTCACGCTATTTCTAAATGTTTTTGTATATAATATTTAGAAGTGTATTCAGCTGCTACAACATACAGAGCTGGGAAATTTTTATAAATATATTCACCTTATGAGAGTTTTTCAATTTGGGAGGAGGGCTGTCACGGAGCCGCTTCATTGCTTGGACTGGAGAATCACTGAAATAGGGAGGCTCCCCATCAATCATTTCAATTACCATGATTCCCAAAGACCAGATGTCTACCTGCCAAAACAAAAGATTGCAGGAGGTGATGTGCAGAAAGATACTCTATTTTCTTCAGAGTTAAGAGAATTTCCCAGCTGAGATACCAAAGAACCTGAAAGATTATAAATTAACCTTTTTTCTAGCATTACATCAAGAGGGCATGTTTATCTTCCTTTGTGCCATTGTTTCTGTTATTTATTTTTACATTCACAGTAACAAATTCTGCAAAAATTAATGAATGTAACATTTTTATTATAACAGTGATATAACAGTGATGCCAGCTCTGCACTGATGTACAGCTGTAAGCTGCTGAATTAGATGAGAAAGCCACATCAACCAACTTCTTGCATTCTGTCTGAACATGGTTTCCAGCATACTGGAAATAATAATACAGAGGGCATGAGGAGACATCGAGTCATACTTTGTCATAATCTTAAATGGTGGGTGCTAAAGGGGAGTTGGTAAAATATTTCAAACTGCTACCCCTTTCAGGTTCTGGAGCTATAATTACCTCAGTGGTGTATGGAGACCTCGAAATAACTTCCGGAGCCATCCAATATGGTGTTCCTACTAAGGATTTCCGTTTTGGTACATCCTTGCTGATTTGTGCACAAAAGCCAAAATCAGAGAGCTTCACCTACACAAAAGAAAGCAAGGTAACATTAAATATCCTACACTAAAAAGTAGGGGGAGGAAACGGTCAAGTAAAGAGACTGTAGGAGAAGACAGTCATACAGGGTTTACAGGTTAAAGTCAGAACTACGAAATGAATCTTCTCCCAACAGTTTGATGCAAGTATTAAAAAATATCACAGAGAAGCCCTCTGGTACTCTACAAAGGGACACTTGTCAAACTGATGTCTGCTTCCCCTGCAACATATTGGAACCATTTGCTTTGGAAGGAATGGAATTACTGTTGAATAGTGTCCCCAGCTCCTCACAGATAGTCCAAAATAATATGTGATTGAAGGGGCCCAGAAAATCAGTTTCTTCTAGGGAGTCTCTGTAACTGAAGCCCCACCACCATGTCAAAAATGTTCTCCAAAACGGAAAGCTGAAGACAGGGTAATAGTTGTGTAGTATAGGTGAATTTTAAAATGGTTTCTATCCCACCTCTCCTCAAGGGGCACTGATCACCTCCTAGACCCAACAAACCATTGCCTCCATGCCCACGGTTCTCAAAGGAACCTAGCAATGTATGACTGCAAATCCCATCTCGTTATAGGATAAAATGTATCCCTGCCAAGTGAGCAGGCCCAGCTGGAAGAAAAAATGTAGAAGTGGGCAATGGACTAAAGGCCCTGCCTGAGGATTCTAACTGAATTCTCTGAATTGGCAGAGCTGGCAGCTTATTTACCTTTTAAAAGCAATTCATGCAATTGCTAACTGTGTGTATATGGCCCCTTGTCTAATCTGTTTATTTTAAAGTGTAGATGTCAGGGACTGAACCTTGAATTTTCTACATACAAAAGCACACTTTGCTCCTGAATTATGGCAAAGAGAAGCCAAGGTAAAAAAAAACGCAGGAAATAAAAAATTAAGAATTACCCTTCCGTCAAGAGTCAAGAGAATGGAGTCACTCTTAATGTCTCTATGAATCACACCTTGGGAATGCAGGTAGGCGAGTGCCTGCAAGACTGACTCACATACTGTAGCAATTTGCTCTTCATTCAGTCTGAAATACAGCAGCCAAAATTGTATATGGGAGTAGCTTAATTTCATACAGCAACAATTAATTAAATGTTCATTTATGGCATGCATGATACTTATGACACTTCCTGCTTCATTGAGAGTAAGAATTATGAACAGCCATTCTTAAAAAGTAGAGAAAGTCAAGAAATTCAGAATAAGTGATTTGGAATGCCAAAATCAAGTTTTACACACATACTAGACAATATTCTGGTGACAAAACAAAATTTATCATCCTCTTTCCCTGCTCTAGTGGAAAATTAATAAATTAATTTCATTACCAAATTTGAATCTGTGAAAATAGTTCTCAGGACACTCCCCCTGAGCTAATTCTTTCTCATGACTAGGCATTATTGGTATTCTTATACTCCAAGAATTAAAGCCATCCAAATTGATAGGAATCGTCAGTATTCCAACAAATGTGATACTTTAAGTGCTGTTTGGAAAAGTGCTCCCTTCCTTTTGTCTACTCAGCATCTCCTATCACAGAGTTTCCCTGGGTATCCCTCATGATTTTTAAGAGCAGGCTGAAATTACATTCTTTGGCTGTTCTATAATATGGTGCATCAAATTGTGCAAAACAAAGCAATTTATAAACCACAGGTTCTCTACACAGAATTTCAGTGACAGATTTCCTAAATAACCCACCCCAAAATAGGTGCTTTGAATCAGAAGAGAGGGATTCATATATTCCTGCTTTTTTCCTACCTGATTTGAGAGAGAATGTCTGTAAGAGCTCCTCCTTGGAGAAATTCCATCAGCACCCAAAGCTCATCACCTACAAGATAGCTTTTATACATCTCCACGACGTTGTCATGCTGATAGTCCCTCATTATCACGACCTGAGAAAGATGACAAAAGACAAATGACTGATAAGTCACACTATGCTTTTTGCTGATGTGGTATATCTCCAATTAGAAGATTTTCTTTTAGCCTTTCATTCTATGGCTAAGGGTCACAACCCATGATTTCAACATGCACTTCTTCACGTCAGTATCCTTCTATAATTCAAGGACCGACAAGACAAAAAGTTATTCCATGCTGCAATCTTTTTCTTTTCCTGGAAATTCTGAGCAGTTTGGACCTAAAAGACAACACTCAAGGTTGGAATAGAGACTATTATATCCTTGACTAAATCATAATGATTTTCAGCCACCTCCACACTACAGTAGCACTATTTTCATTCCTGAAACTCTCAGTAGATTTTTCTGTTTGTGCTTCTGCCAGTTCAAAATGCTGAGAACAGGGAATGAAAATGAAATTCACTGTTCTGCCCAGGTTCCCCCCCAAATTTACTAACCCCTTTTAAAATAAAAGTAAAACTAGAAAACAAAACCCAACACCACAGTCCTTTTAGAGGAAAACTGACAAAACATTTGTCAATTTCGCACTTGTTTTTACTGACTAGGTTCTGGAGGCCAGATTGCCAGCATTTTCCTGACACTCAGGAATTTGGAGAAAGTGGTCCTTCAAATAACGAACTAGAATTACATCATTTTTTAAAAGTAAAACACTTCCCTCCAGCTTTGCAACAATTCCAACTACATTACAGTTGATCTGGAAATAAATCAGCTTGGTGCTCCAACAGCTCCAATAGGGGAGGAGACATAGAAGTTCAAAACTGCTTTTAAATCAGCACAGAATCCTTGATGAAAGTGCATGGGAGAGTTATTAAATGATATGAATATATGGCACCAAAAGCAATCTCTAAAAGCCAAATGAATAATTTTCCTTCTGCGTCTTTTTAGATGCAGTACAACTAACATCTCAATGACATTACTCACTATCTACTTTTGTGCAAAAAAAGGTTACATTTAATATCTATTAATTTAGTCACCTCATTAAAAAGGAGTTCTCGTCGTTGCTGCTTTCGTAAATCCATCATCTTCACTGCTACCTGCCTTCCAGAATGCTTCTCACGAGCAATACAGACAATACCCGTAGATCCTTCACCGATCTTGACGTAGCTTTCTAGCATTGTCCTAGGATCTCCTTGATCCACCACCATCCTCAATGCAGCTTTGAACTGCTCATGAGTTACCACCGCTGGATCCTCGCTGGTTGGCTGTGCTTTAGCATCCAGGGGAAGGTGAAGGTTGCTGGAGCTGGTTTGGGTGTGTCTGTTCCGTGGGGACCCTGCTGGCGATGGCCTACCTTGAGGCAAGCCAATTCTATGTTCAATTGTTGGGGACTTGTGAGGGGTATCACCAGCTTCTGAAATCCTAGCATAATCAGGCACAGGCTGGTCAGAGGGAAGAGACTGGGATTTGGCTGCAGGACTGAGCGGTGAACTCCAGTGCTGGGGTGCCCTGAAGAAGGGGTTTGGCTTGTAAAGAATAGAAGAAAATGTATCGTTAGCAGAACTGTCAATTCAGATAAAGACATTAAAGATATTTGAATCAATACATTGCTGATGCAATCTACATACATGGAATTATTGAAACAATTGTTTTGAATGGAGATTAAAGTATTCTTTGTATTTTGAAATAGCACACCTATCGATTGCAGAGGCTGCCATCTTGGGGAAAAATTACCTGATACAAACACACACACTGTAATGAGCACTTCAATATCTAAGTCCAAATTAAAGCATACTTGATACATGATTGTCTAGTCTTCACTTGAAAACATTCAGCAGAGAGAAGTCACAATCTCTCAGAGTAACTGATTCCATTCTTCAACAACTATTTCTGTTAGGAAATTTCTTCTAACATTCAACAAGAATTTGCCTATATTCCCTGTCCTGCACTTTCAAATAGTAGAGAGTTTCTTGAGCTCCTCCTATTCTTCTATTTGAAGAACACCCTCATATGCCACCTCAGTTTTCTTGGCTTAAGTATGTATGCATATGTATGATAGGTGTTGTACAATCATCACCTTGTGCAATTTCATATTTATGGATAGAGCAGGGATGAGAAACAAAATTCCTATTAATTTTAAAGACATATAAAGTGAGGTAAAGAACCTATCACATGCAGTCAACAAGCAAAGCACTTATTATCTTTAGCTGAGTTTTAAAGACATAAGCATCTTGTGTGGCATAATAATCCCCCTCCTAACTGATTCAGTGGTACTGGAAGTTCAGTAGAGGAAAACGTTTACACTATTGTACATTCTCTAAAAACTATGTCACCTGTATAAGCAACTTTTTTTTCTTGTTAGTACACCATTAACACAAGACCAATAGTTTAACATGGTCATTGCCCAGGTGTTATTTCAAAACATATATACCACAAAGTTACACAATTGGATTTCATGCTACAGAACATTTTACATATCTACTATCTACATGATAACAAACATTCAATTGTGTATCTTATTCACAAAAAGAACCATTCTAATGATAAACTTTAAAAGCTAGAAAAGAGATTAAAACAAGAATTTATTTGTAACAATGGCACTCCAATAAAAATATGTGATAAACTCTTCTGTATTGCCATGATTATATATGCACAACTTTTAAATAAGCAAATTTAGAATATGTTAAAATATGGTAATGTTTAATAACATTATTACAGAGAAAGGGGATCTGCTACAGATAATTGTGAGAAATAATGTGATTTAAAATTAATTCTCCATTCTTTTTATTCTTACTCTCTCTTCACAATCTCCACCAGTTCAATCAGGCAATCTTTTAAAAAGTGGTTTTTTTTTAATACATCCCCAGCAGGTTTGGCCCTCAATTTTGCAGCTTATTTCTTTTATGTTACTTTATCCCTTCAGGTTTTTTTTTTATACTTCTAGAACTTCAAGGTCTGCCATCCCTTCTGTGCATGGATGATGCCAGCTGAGCTGCTACAAGGGCTGGAATTTCAAATGAAACTTTTATCAGATCAATATAAAGGTGATCTGCAACAGAAGGAAGTAGATTTTATGTTCTTCCAGAAGATTTAATCAGTAGATTGTATTCTGAACACCCAATTATTCAGCTACTACATATATTCCATGCTATTATTGCTGAAGGGATTTTCTTTCCCTGTGATTTTATTCCCTGCTGTTCTCCCACTCTGTAAAATAGAATATAAATATTCTGGTCCATTTATTTTTATAGAAAGTATACGGATAGTCCTTGACTTATGACCACAATTGAGCCCAAAATTTCTGTTGCTAAGCAACGCATTTGTTAAATTGTGCCTCATTTTACAACCACTTTTGCAACAGTTGTTAAGCAAATCACTGCAGTTGTGACCAGAATCATGTGGTCATTTAGTGAATCTGGCTTTCCCCACAGACTTTGCTGGGAAGGTTACAAATGGTGATCACATGACCCTGGGACGGTGGAAGTTGCCAAGCTCCCAAATTTTGAACACGTGACCACGGGGATGCTACAATAGTCGTAAGTGTGAAAAATGGTTATAAGTCACTTTTTTCAGTGCTGTTGTAATTTCGAACGGTCACTAAATGAAAGGTTGTAAGTCGAGGACTACCGGTACAACTACCTCTCTCAAGCAAAAAGTAATAAAATAATATCATAGCAAAGCCAACCCCCCACTAAAACAATACCGAACTGAACCGTACATGTCAGACTTAGTTAACAACCTGTCCTAACCCTGAGGATAAAGACAGCTGTTCAGGACTCTCTGGCAAGCTAGGGGAGTCGGGGCTGCCCAAATCTCAGAGAAGATCCTGTTCTGTAGGGTAGGAGCCACGACGTAGTAGGCATATTTCCTGGGTCCCACTCAGCGCTGTTTTCAAAGAAGGACTTGGACCCCGACAAATCTCGTGAGATGAGCAAACACATAATTGGGAATTAGTGGTCCTGAATAGAACTTGGCCCTATCCTATATAGAGCTTTATAGCTGACCATTACCATCTTAAATTGCACTCAGAAACCTATTGGGAGCCAATGCCAATGTCTTACATGGGCCTACCACTGCATTTTGAACTAACTGCAGCTTCCAAATACTCTTCAAGGACAGCCAGATGTAAAGCACTTTGAAGTAACTTAGGTGTGAGTGACTGAAAGCTAATCCTCCTGTTTCAGGAAGAGGCATAATTAGTGCAAAAGATGAAGTTGTGCATAGGCGCACCTGACCTCAACTGTTCCCTACTCATTGAGTGGGAGCCACGAATCTAGAGGGACTTCCAAATTGTGTGCTAACTCTTTGGATGGTGGGTAGTGCTATTCTATCCAGAATAAAAGACCTCCCTTCCATCATCGTCATCATCATCATTACTAAAAAGCTTTTTGAAAAAGTTTTATTCTTTTAAAATTCTTTAAAAGAATGTATGGTATCTAAAAGATTATCATATTGCCATGGAATTGCTATTGAGATTTATTATTAGCCACTGGTAATCACTGCTACATTACTATGCAAATCCCTATCTAGTTTTTCTCCTCAAAGAATGCAATAAGTGGGAATTACTTGATTTTATCATTACAATAAGTCAGGTTTAATAAACAAGGTATTTGAAGATCTAGTTGAAGATCACCCTGTTAATTTAATGGCTATGCTGAGTGGAGAAAGGATTCAATTGCTATAGTAGTGGGTTCTTATATTGTCAGAGAAATGGACTAAATGATCTTTAAGTAGTAAAGTAGAAGGGTTTAGAAAATATGCAAGAACTGTTACCTAGGCAAAGCAGCTGACACGTTTTTTAAATCCAGAAGAAAATGACATTTGGAAACAGTTCAGATAGATGCCTCTCTAATTCACTGAACTATAAGTAGGAGAAGAAGGTACAGCACAATCAGACTTGCAAGATTCTGTTATTATAGACAGCATCAGTAAAAGTAGTTTTAGCTTTCCTGTTGAGTTGATTTCCTGGTTTTGTCTAATAAGATTAATATCAATCTTAATGTTTTATGATTTCTCCAGGCTACGTTAAAAGTTCTTATCATAATACAATACTAATTTTTCTGGAATATTTAGTCTTACCTATGGCATAGCCATCTACTACTGACAATAATTCATACCTATCTATGCCAGAAAGATCTTAGGTTACCAGTGATGGAACTGGTAGATGCTGGATTAAAGGAGGCCAGACCATTAATACAATTCTGTATTAATTAGGTGAAAAACAATTATATGTATTTAAGTGATAGAAGAGATTATCCTTATTTTGAACTAGTAATATTTACACTGCAAGCAAATATAGTTAATTATCTTGCATATGCAATTTTTTTGTTTTGACTCCTGTGGGTATACATACTGGTAAATGAAAATATATATTGCAATCATTATACATTTTGAGTGAGTGCAAAGAGGGAGAACTGTCAGCATGCACAATTACCAGTACTTGCCTGATGAAATGTACTTCGCTCATGTCTGTCTACAATACCTTTTCAGTCCAGCTGAGACATGTCCCTGATAGCAAAGAGGGTTCAAATCACCAACTTTGTTTTATGTATTCTAGGGCACCCAAAAAGGTTCCACAGGTACTTAAGCTTGGGGTCCACTTTTATAACTAACTTGCATTCTAAATTCAGCACATTGTTTATGTGCCAATTTTTAAAAAAATTAGCACCAGCAACATGCCCATATTTCCATTTATTTCTAATCATTTAATCTAAACTATTATCCTCTTCCCAAGACTACATCCAGACAGTTTCCACTGCTACCATCAAAATTATTGGCTATGCTACCATTTCATCTTAAATGTGTTTATAGTACAACACGAGATTGCAATGATATGAAATCATGGGAAAATAGATCTAGATTACAAATGAAAGATGACTCTACCAAAACGACAGATGCAAAATGAACTGTCAGCAGAGACCAGATTAAAAAACACACACACTGGTAGGCGTTCGAGGTTCAGTGGATGATCTGTGCCTCCCTTGCTCATAGTTCTATAATTTTGCTGTTACTGGGCTCTCCTACCATCATTCTTTTATTTATGAATATGTTCTGAGTCAGCAGGGCTCTGCACATATTCTCTTCAGTTTCCTTCTTGCAGTTGGTCCAAGCCAAATTTGGTTAGTCATTAGCAGCTACTAATTGACACTAGAGAACAGCTTTATGATCTCTTCCAAAAATTCTGAGATCCTCACTGCAATGATCACTTTTGAAAAGCAAAATCCAGAACATACCCAAACGGATATGGAAGGGTAAGAAGGCTGATTAAAATTGAAATTGAAAAACATGTTATTGCAGGTACTGTGTCTTCTCAACCCCCTATTTGTACTGTTTTGGAGAACAAACATTAGAAATTTTGCAATCATATAAACATATTTATATCCTACCCACTACTTCAAAGAGACCAGGACAGTACAGACAGAGATTATCTTTTTTATTTATTTTTGCTGTTACTCTTAAACATCAACTTGGGCTGAAAAAGAATGGCTAGGCTTCGTGGCAGGACGGCAAGTTGACTTCACATCTTTCTGTTCTAGTCCAATACTCCATCCAGTTTAGCAAGGTTTTCAGACCATAATGCTGTTTACATTTTCATTTGATTCTGAAACATTATTCCATGCTCAGTACTTATTTGAGAAGGCTTTTATCATCGCCAAATGCCACTATAGACAAAACCTTCATTTGGTTCAAAGAATACAGTGGGTATGTTAAACTGGAACAGACAACTGCTTTGGGATACAATTGCCTTACAGGTAATCCTTGACTTACAACCAGTTGCTTAGCGACCATTTGAAGTTCTGATAGATTTACCTGGGTAAATCTATGGCACATATGGCTCAGATTTGAAGTTCCCATGGTTGGATCCCCCTGCACTTTGACCGCTTGGCAACTGGTCTGCCTTTACAGCCATTTGCGGTGTCCTGTGATCACATAGCTGCATTTTATGACCGTTTTATGGAAATTGGTTTGCTTAACTTCCGCAGATTCACTTAATGCCCATGGTGATTTATTTAATGACCATCACAAAAAAGATTGTAAAATTGGGTTGCTCATGTGACTGGCCCATTTTACAGCCATCACGAGTTATGCCTGTGAGAGATATAATTATGATTGTAACTCAAGGACCTCCTATGCCATGAAGAATCAGATACAACATTTGGAGAATTCTCAAACCCAATACTACCTATGGGAGGGTAGGTAGACATGCCTTTTTCTTCAAACTTTCTACACAAATACACCGGTTGCTCCAAGACTGAACTGCTGTAATACTCTTTATATAAGATTAGCATTACAAAAAGCCCAACTCCAATTCATGCACATAATGTACAGTCAACATTTAGGACAGGGGTAGGCAACCTTGGCTCTTTTATGACTCGTGGACTTCAGGAATTCTGGGAGTTGAAGTCCACGAGTCATAAAAGAGCCAAGGTTGCCTACCCCTGATTTAGGACATCTACTCAGAGAAAGCCTACATGTATACAAGTCTGTAAATACAGACTTTCCTTTTGTACACATCCATGCTAAATAGGGGCAAATGTTATCTAGAGCCCTCACATACAGAGAGCTCCACACAACTTAGTATCTGTATAGGGCTCCTCAGAGAAAAGCATTGGAGTAGCATGTTCTTATGAGAGTTATGCCAGCTACTTGCTTGCCACTGTATGCAGCTCTATGGAACTCACCCCGATTTCACAACCTTACTCTATGTGTTCCACTTAATACAACACCTCAGGGTGTTGTATTAGGGACAGAGCTTATAGATTGCAGTAGAAGCAGCAAGGCTCAATTATTTCTGGGCTTCATAGAAAACTTAGAAGCTGAAGAAAGGTATGTCTTTGTACCCAAGGCCAAGTGTATATATGTATGTGTATATGTATATATGATTGGTAAATATAACAACCGAGGACATGAAAAGATACAACCCAAAATATAACAGTGCTAATAAAATCAGAATATATATATATATAGAACAATGAATAAATGAGCAACATTTGTTCAAACTAAAAATATATCCATAAAATGTTAATATAAAACTAACTCAATCCTTTTAACATTATTAAATCTAGCTCTGTGGGCCATTTATTATTCCATTTTCTCAGTTTGGGTACAGTATGTTATTTTGCTACCTCCCTTATTCTGGTATATTGGAGACAAAAATTCTGCAAGCATTTCTTCTTCTCCGTGTCTGGCAGGAAAAAAAAATGTAGCTAGAAGTTAAACATTTAACAATTGCTAACCTTGAATGACATCCAAAATTTTCTATCTGCCAAAGAGTAGATCTGGTCCTGCCAGATTCAGAGCTGTTTTCTGAAAAGGTGCCACTTTCAAGGCAAAAGAAATCATTCAAGTCTGACGAGCACCAAAGGGAGGTTCCTCATGATGCAAATAGCAATGCCAGACCACATTTTCATTTGGAACTTAGCACTGGTGAAAAGACTTAATCTTTCCCTTTTTTGCTCTGTAGTGCCAGTCTCAACACGCTTCCACTGTTGGTTATTTCTGCTTCAAAACAGATCAGACACACTAAATGCACAACTCAACAGATTGGATAGCTTGGCCCTGGACACTATAATTTTGCAATCAATATATATTTACTAAATTGCCACCTCACGAATAAACAAAATTATTCCTGGTATCAATATTGTCAATAGAAATAGTTATTGAAATATTTTGTAAAACAAATGGTCTTAAGCTAGACTCAGGCTGATTTAATCAAGACAAGAAACAAAATGATTACTAGAGAACTTCATTTTTTTTAAAAGCAATTTGGTAAAAATAAAAATGCACAGCAGAGAAGTTGGAAGTAATGAAAAAATCCAAGAAACAGTATGGGTACAAAACCCATATAGTAATTTATATTTTTCCAGCCAGAATCATTTTCAGAGGGCTATGAGTTTACATGAAAGAATAAAATGACTGGTGTGGAAATTGCATTATTATTTTTTCTTTCTTTCTGATCATTTCTCTGCCCCAGCTAACGCCTCTCCCCAACTTTCTAGAGTAATGTTTTTTTCCATTTAGATAATGTTTCATGTAATTCTTATATAAAGATAAGAAATGTATGTTCAAATAAACAATGACATTGATAGGCAGACATGGATTTTTTAGATAGTTGGCAACTGAAAGACATTCACATACATATACTGTGCATGTAATAATAAGTGCTGAAACTTTAATATCAACATATATTTAAGGCTATCCTCACAATATAAATATAACCTCCTGAAATGATTTGCAAGTTGTAAGAAGAGGAGTTGTAAGAAGATTCTCAGAGCAATATTTGCTTTGAGAACTGGAACTTGGAAGCTCTCAGGCTAGAAAGGTACTAATATAATACCTTCTAGGGAACCAAGCACACATACCTTTATCTGTGGGTTGTTTCCAGTCTTATTTGAAGGGTTGGATGACGGGAACACAGTTCGCAACAGCCTCCGCTTCAAACTGTTTTCCCTTGATTTAGAGCCAGGACTACCTTCTCCAGGTGGCCTCAAATTAGCTTGGCTCCCATGGCAGGGCTGAGCGTAGTTCTCTTCGGAGTTTCTTCTTGCTACCGCATTTTCTCTGTTTACCTCAGGAACAGGAACGTATTGCTGGTGCTGAAAACCTGATGAGAGTGGGGCAAAGTGGCTATTTGCCCCTTGGAACTCTGAAGGGTCAAGAGATTGAGCTTTCATGACTAGGCTGTTGGAATGAGCCTGCCCGTCCAACATGGGCTTGTAATCAGGCCATAAGGTCTGCCTTCTAGACGATTTACTTCCGCCGTTGCAGTTGAGGTAGTTTCCATACTTGTCTGCCCAGTCTGGTTCAGCGCAGTGTAGATATATGTCAGTTGGTTCATCTTCTCCTAGAAGTCCTAGCGACTGGGCTCTTCTCCTGCTAGTAGGGCTCTTACCCCTCAGGGTGTTAGAACTGATGAGGGAGAGCTTCTGGATGTCATTGAGTATTCCAGAGATATATCCTTCCACTTCAAATGTGCTGGCTCGCACAACCGTCTACCACAAAACAATTAATTAATTGATTAATTGAGGAAAGTCAATGTCATCTGCTCATTCATTAAGAAAGGGAATATCTAAATCTGGGACAAATTTACATATATTTCTACATACTGTATGTAATTAGTGAACTATTCCTAGTTCACTCTGAAAATACAGATCCAGGGAGAAAATCACATTTTTATTTACCGCATAGCGCTCAACAACTAAAAAATGGTTTGGTGCTACTAACAAATCAGGTGTTACAGAGTCTATCCAAAAGTGAGGCTAAACTTCCAAATAGAGCAGATCTACAATACATTGATTTGTGTTGCCTACCACTGTTTTTAATTCCTACTTTGAAGCAATTACTAAGGTCTAGTTCACACAACCACATGCAAGAAGAAAAAAACATGTAGTTTACAGTTAGTCTATAGCAAACATGCACACTATGAACCAATTATCTTTGATACACAATCTATTTTTTACTGCCTGCTGCTGTTTTACTGGATAATATGTTGAAAAGTGAAAGGCAAATAAATGTTTTTTTTTTTACATCTGTTATAATGATAACTCAAATCCTAAAATCATAATCCATCAGATTTATTGGTGTGAATAAACACAAAGACGAGATATGCACATTCAATAATAAATAAAAATAAAAAGAATTCATTTTCACAGGAAATTACATAGTTATAAGCCAAATAATTTTAACTATGCAAAGATATTGACTTGGAACACAATAGCTGCATTTTCCTGCCCAGACACACCTACCACTACTATACATTACCTGTTTTACAACTCAGCCAACTCATTAACATAGGAAATCAGAAGCTTAAGAATCTATTAATATTATTTATTTCTCCAAAGGGAACTTCAATATAACAATGCCATCCACTACATCACTTCAAAACAGCAAAAATATTACAAACTGTGGTCAAGTGATTGTGAGATGCTGCAACAGTCGTATATGCGAACTAGTTACCAAGTGCCTGAAATGCAGTCATATGTTGGGGGGGGTGTGCAGCATACACCACAACAGCTGAAAGTGCTTTACAGGCCATAAAATAACTTCTCCAAGTTCTCATGTTCTTTGAATGGTTGTAAGTGACTGCTTGTTAAGTGAGGACTATCTGTATGCTTTTATTGTACACTATTAGCCATATACAGTAGAATCTTGTGATAGGGTGATATACCAACCTTTGCAAGGAGTCTGAAAAGCTGCTGTAAATCATGATCCATTTTAGAAGATAGTATTTGACATGGCTTAAATAGAGCAAATACTTGCATTTTCTAAAACGTGTTCTGTCCTCATTTTCATCTCCAGAACACTTACCATGCATTATTAAATTTATGGATAAGTTGCATTTTAGGTGCTGGATTCATTTAGGAACTGTATCCATATACGGATAATTAAAAATGCAAATAGCCATTTAGCGACAATTGGAACCAGCAACTCAATCATTAAGCAAAGCAGTCACTAAGTAAAACTGTGACTATCCTTATAATCTTACTGCAGCTTTCCTTTGCTTTACAGAACTGTGAAAGTCGAAAATATGAGGATTGGTGTAAAGTTACTTTTCATCATGATCATAATTATAAAAGGTTGCTAAGTGAGGACTACCTGTAAGGGATAATTTTCATTTAATTTTTAAAATGGTTTTGGTAATTTATTTCCCAAAAATCAAAATAACTTTGAATTAGAACCTTGAAATAACTAGATAGACCTTTGTTTATTCAGATCTGTCTCATCTATGTGTTGCTTGCTATTTAATGGTTAATTATATAGATTAGTATTTTTTCTGTCTGCACTAGACTTCACTAGTTACTTAAGAATAATGTCTTCCAGTTTATTCTCTCACAAGAAATATAGAGACACGAGCTCTAGTCTTTCCATGGAATGAAACCTGGTTGGATGACTCTGGATCAATCATTCTTTCTCAGCCCAAGCTACCTCACAGTAATTGTGGGGAAAACAGGAGATGTGAGCATTATATATACCACCTGGAGTTATCCAAAAAATATTTATACTATTATTTATAATCATAGGTAAAAATGGGATATAAATCAAATAAATAAATAAATGGCTGGGTTTACATATCATGCTAATTTGAACACACAATTTGTTCAGAATAAAATTAATCCAACTCAAAATAGCTGAAGTCACATATTATACTAAAGTAAACAAAACAAACACCTTATGACTTAACACAGCTTAGAAAGATGGTATGATGGTTGGAAACTTCTTAACACAATGTCTGATATGTGATAGCACATTCACACATTTTCTTAGTTAACTCATCCAATATCAGAACTGTGCCATGTATAACTCATCTACATTTTCACAATTCACTAGCAAAACCTCCAGAATACCCTGATCTATAATACCAGTAAACTATGGCATCCTAGCAAAACCTCCCAATTACTCTGATCTATATTGTTTGCCTGGGTTAAGAACAAAAACAAACAAAAACAACCACCCAATTTTCACGAATGGTAGAAATGGTCTAAATTCAAGCTAAAAAAATCTTTCAATTAGGTGCTGTCATGGGGAATTATCAGCTCTCCATGCTCAATGTACGTAGAAAGTGGAAATCTAATCATTGTCAAATTCACTTTTGTATATATAAAAAGCAATTCATGTATTCTCCATAGAGAGGGATCTCTGGAAATCTGTGATTATTAAAATCCATAATGGAAGAGATTTACTCCCACAGACAGATTAGCTTATTACAGTCCTTTTCTGAAATGCCAGAAAGAAGGAACTGTCATTAAACAATCTCCAAACCTGATCAACTGTGACTTAGTCAATGAAGTATGATTAAAAGCAACGTATAAACCAGATCAATATCTAAATAGTCAAGATGTAACAGATTGCATTAGAATGGAAACCATTCTGAAAAAAAACTTACAAACTGAGAAAATAAAGTTCTCCAAAACTTTTCGGAATGCAACTAAAGGGCATTTTTAGATGGCTTAAGCTTAAGATGGCAGGGACTTTCCAATGTCAATATCCTGGTCATGAAATTCCCTTCAAAAGAAGGAAAGAGTAGCCCTATTCCTGACGGTTATTCAACATGCAATGGATCTAATCGTCTTATATAAATCCTGCCTGCCTGTTTACTTTCCTTCTCAAATATATCTTGCTGTCCTAATCATAAACTCTAAATGGTTTACAATCAGGGAAAAAACATCATAACATCATAGAAATTTATAAATTTATAAAATTGGTCTACAATATAATACAAAATTACACAAGCTGGATAAAATATAGCAACCATGGCAAGATACAATGGAAAAGAATAATCTCAAGTATTTCAGCAAAAAAATAGGGTGATGCCATCAATATTTATCTCACACACACATAGAATAATAGGGCTGGAAGGTCTTCTAGTCCAAATTCCTGACCAAGACAGGAATCCTTATACCATCCCAGACAAATGAATGTCCAATCTTTACTTGAAAACCTCCAGTGATGGAGGGAGGCTGTTTCATTGATTAATCATTCTCACTGTCACGAAATTTCTCTTTAGTTCCAGGTGGGATCGCTCTTTAACGAGTTTCCCCTTTTGGACAATAAGTCAACCTCCTCATCTCTGTGATTGCCCTCAAGTATTGGAAGACATTTATAGCAATAGCACTTAAACTTATATACCGCTTCACAGTGCTTTACAGCTCTCTCTAAGCAGTTTACAGTCAGCATATTGCCCCCAACAATTTGGGTCCTCATTTTACCGATCTCAGAAGGATGGAAGGCTGAGTGAACCTTGAGTTGCTGAAAATCGAACTGCTGAACTGCAGGCAGCCAGCAGCCAGCAGAAGTAGCCTGCAGGACTGCATTCTAACCACTGTGCCACCATGGCTCATGTCACTCCTAATTCTTCTCTTTTTTAGGCTAGACGAACCTAGTTCCCTAAATCATTCATTGTATAGTTTAGTATCCAGACCTCTTATCATCATTCCTGCTCTTCTCTGCACTCTTTCTAGGGTCTCAGCATGCTTTTTGTATTATGGAGACCAAAACTGGATGTCGTATTCCAAGTGTGGCTTCATTAGTGCAGTATAGAGTAATACTACCACTTTTCTTGATCTTCATGCTATCCCTCTATTGATGCAACCTAGGACTGCGCTGGCTTTTTTGGCAACTGCAGCACATTGCTCTCTCATACTTAAGCAATGGTCGACTAGGATACCTAGATCCCTCTCACACTTACTATTATTGAGCCAGGTACTGCCTATTCTATACCTATGCATTTGATTTTTCCTGCCTAAGTGCAGACCTTACATTTTGCAGCACTGAACTGCATTTTATTGGATAGGCCCATTTCTCTAGTCTGTCAAGATTCTTCTGAATCTTGAGTCTACCTTCCAAAATATTAGCAATTCCCCCAGCTTGGTGTATGAAAATTTGATGAGCTCGCCTTCTATCCCCTCATATAGATCATTGATGAAGATGTTCAAGAACACTAAGACAGAATCTTGAGGAACCACACCGCATGTTTCTCTCAATGAAGATGTAGCTTTGTTGAGGACTACATGCTGAGTGCGGTTTGTCAGTCAATTGTAAATTCATCTGGTGGTTGTACTGTCTATACCACACTGTTCTATTCTACCAAGAAGTAGGCTATGGTCTACTGTGACAAATGCCTTACTGAAGTCCACATATACTATATCCAAGGCATTGAATGCTTGATCTAACATTGGATGCTTGATCTTTTTCCTCTGCTTGGTTGAGTGGCCTATGGTATACACCCCTTTCCCAATATCCTAAGAAGAGGAAATTAGAAGAAGCATATACAGCCAGACTGAATGCACAGAATGGGTAGATTTTACTGTTCTTTCTACACAGCAAAAGAAAATGAATTGAGTCTTTTTAAATATGTCCAGGAAAAGCATAATATAGATAAATGCACACTAAAAGTAAACTGCTCCTTTGACATGAGATGAAGTGAATTCTAGTCAATGCCATAATTCAGCTTCCTGATGTACTGAAACTACAGTTCTCAAGATTCCCACTATTTAGCCAAGAGTACCAATTCTGAGGAGTTGCAGCCCCAACATACCCAAAAGACATCACATGGGAAAAACTAATACAATCAATGTGTTAGCTTTCAGGCAATACACAGCTCTTTCCAGATTTTCTGTAAAAGACTAATGCAGAGATCCACCACTGGAAAACATTTGCCAGAAACCTTCCCAAACAATATACTTAATGAATAATATTGAAGTTTGATGAAGTTCTGATTTGCCTGACCAGCAATTTTTTCCAACTCTTCAACTCTTATTCATGTCTGCACTTTTTTACCATGAATACTAACATATTAGTATACTAATATACTTGCACTGGAAGCTCAGATATCTGGTCAATGACTCAACCCACTCAATAAATTCCTCAGAACAATTTCTCCAATGCATCAAACACACCAAGATCAACAAGGAAGAAATTATGATCTCCTTCATCATCACTGCTCTCTTCACCTCGATTGACATCGACCTGATTAAACAAAGCATACACCACCTACTCACTAAAAACCATACCCACAAAGATAATGCCACTACAGAACATTCCATGTCCACAGAAACCATCATGAGACTCCTGGATCTATGCCTCAACACATACTTCAAGTTCAATGGGAAAATCTACAAGCGGGTACAAGGTACCCCAATGGGATCACCCATATCAGGCCTAATAGCAGAAGCAGTCATGCAATGACTTGAATCCATAGCTTTATCCACTATCCAACCAAAATTCTGGACATGCTGCATCGATGACACCTTCATTATCATCAAGCGCTCTCAAATTGAAGAAACACATCACCTACTCAATAACATATTACCTGGGATCAAATTCACACGCAAAGAGAAAACAGACAACACACTCCTATTCCTTGACATTGACATAAGGAGACTAGACAATAGAAAACTGAAAACCTGCATCTACCACAAACCCACACACACGGATCACATCCTCAGCTTCGCCAGCAACCACCCCACCACACACAAAAAAAGCTGTGTCCAGAACCTGTTCAGAAGAGCGAGGATACACTATAGCACCACAACAATAAGAAAAGCAGAAGAGAAATGGCTGCATGACGTTTTTCTCCAACATGGCTATCCAAAAAACTTCGTATTCCGAAACACAGCAACCAAACCCCAGCACACCACCCAGCCAACTACCACACAAAAACTAACCCTACCATACACAAAAGGGATGTCAGAAATGACAGCCAGAATTCTCCAACCCCTAGGAATAGCAATAGCTCACAAACCCACAGCCACACTCTGCCAGAACCAAAGACAAGATACAGAAGGATGAAAGAAACAATGCCATCTACAAAATCAACTGCAACCATTGCAACCAATTCTATATGGGACAAATTTCATGTCAATTAAAAACCAGGCTCCACGAACACCAGTTGGCACTCAAACATCATGATTCCAAATCCTTAATCTCTACCCACACCGACACCAAACAGCACCAGTTCGTTTGGAGCAACACAAAAATCATCGACAACGCTACCACCCACCACGCTTGTGAGTTCATTGAAGCCTGGCACTCCACAAGCAATTCTATCAACAGACACATTGACCTACAACTAGCCTAGGATCCCCTCAGAATCCAAATTAACTGCACAGCCAACCAGAGACAGCACCGAACCTCAACCAACCCACGTAAGCACCCCCTACCAGCAGTTTACTACCCAATGACCCTGACCTGATGTAATCTCCCTATCACGAAACTCACTGATGACTCACACCTGACCCATCACAAGACCCTCACTCAACATGCCCACACCTGAGGTTCTTATAAACAGAAGAACACAGACACTAGCATCCCCTAAACTCCGCTGCAGATGTTACCTAGCCTGGTAACAAAACATTCAGAAACCAACCCACAAGCTCAGAGAACGAACCTTCACCCTCAACTAACGTATTAAGCTGCATGGAATACCTTGATTGGGGGCAAGGGAAGATTCATACATACATATGTGAACTAGATGATTAGAAAGTGTTCTGGAGAGTGCTAATATTTTCTTCTTACCTTCATAGGCTGAAGCTGCACCCGGGTGATCCTTGAAGGGTCTACAACAGGTTTGGGGCGTTTCAGAGTGTCCAAAATATTTTGCCATTGAGGTGGCAAGCCAATAAACTTCCCTTCCTTTGGATCAAAGGATGTGTGTACACGATGCTCAAAATTCTGAGGAGCAGAGATCTCAGGTCGCTTCTTTTTCTTCTTGCGAAACATTGTGCCTAAATAAGAAAAAACAAATGCACTGGAGTGTTTATCCAGCATCAGTTGCAAGCAGTTTACACCATTGGCACTTACTAAACCCCACCCGAGAACCACATCTCTAGATCCATTAAAAGTTGACCATCTCGTTCAGCAGAAAGCAAAATAGCATCCAAGATGCCACCCTGCATCCATGGTTCCTCCTTGCCAAAATAGGCGGAAAGTTTTTAATTTGGTGATTTTAATGGCTGCGAATATTACAAGATTTAACTGAGATTAATACACCTGCTTTCCAGATGACTTTTTCTTTCTATGTAATTTGGATTTTTTTAACCTATTTTTTCTAAGCAAAGTTTATTCTAATTAAAATAACAGCCATAAAGAACTCTGTTCCTCATTCCTCAGTCTTTCCTGGAACAGTGAGCCACTGGAAACCCAAGCAAAAAACCCAGCCCTATGAAAGTCCTCTAAAGAACTGCACAGTAGGAGGAATAAATATAGCTTAAAAGAATAAAAAAGTCTGAAAAATAAAAGGCCTTAATTTTTTTCTGGAAAAAAAAACAAGAAAAAAAAGCAATGTTTAAGAAGTCTGCATCAGCTATAATAATTATTAAGCTTCTTTGGGCTTAGAATCAGAGAATGAAGATGACTCAAGAAAATGTCCATGTAATAAAATATTTTCTTATTTGGACTACTGATATTACATTTCGATCCCTTAAATTTCTGATCTTGCAGAAAATGAATCACAATAATAATCTCACTATGGCTGCCAGTGTAGAAAAACAGAAGTGTAAGTTACTCTAAACAATCATGTTACTGAGATTTATGTTTTCACACTCAGGATTATGAATCTTGTAAAACAGAGTAACCAGCACGATCTTCTAGTTGCTTTCTTCTACAGCTTGGAATTTAACATCAGTCTTATGGATTAGTAAATGCTGTCTTTTGCTATTAGGGTGCAAATAAAGTGACTGTCTGAATAGATTACATACTCCTTTAAATATTAAATGAGTCACTGTTTATTGCCTATCTAGAAAGGCATGGTGTTTTCCTTGAACCACACTATCTTCAAGTATTCGATGCTATGTTTATGTGAGTGGGAAAGGATTAATCCTGCTATGATTTTGGTTATTTCTACAACCAATCAAAGAAATAACTTCCCCCACCCATCCTTTACGGGGGAAAATCCTTTGTTTTGTAAGTGTGAATGAATAAGGGCCTGGAGAGGAATAAATTCACTTGTTAATAATTACTTGTTAATAATTGTTGCTATTATTATCATTAAGACTATTTATGCATGTTATAATTTAATTCCTCTTCTACCATTCTCTCAAGGTAATAAGCCAGTCCATTTGTTTTACTCAAATACAGTTGTGGGTTGCAGAACTGCAATAATCCAGAAGCATTTTCTGATATTCTTGCATCTTTTCCTATACCACAATGCTAAAAGCTGTGCCTCACTTAGCAAAGAATGACATTTCTCTAGTCGAAATATACTGCATTTGGATATATTGGAAGATGAACAATTCTATTTTTTGCTGCCCAACATATTATCTTAAAAGGCCCTCAAATCTAATTTTCTGTTAATAATACTTGGGTTGGAATACGAGTAAAAGACACAGTGCCTATGGTACCAATGTGCCAATAGGTGCTTGGTGCCTATAGGTCTCATCTCTACCTGAAATGTAATTATAAACTTAATAAATGTGATGCTGACTGTAGAAAAGCAAAGTGCCACCTTCCAGCAATACCTGTATAGTATATAAAAGTAGGCCTTTGGTCTACATAGGGCTCCATAGGGATTCTTACAAAATGAAAATGCTTTCCACAAAACGGCGATAACATTTTAATTTCATTGCACTTTCGCTGTAATTGACTGACCGTGGACATCCCCTCTTCGTATGGATGTCTTGTTGTTCTAATGTGTTTGTGTTATTCATGCTTTGTTCTACACGAACCAACATCTCACAATTCTGGCAGTCTACAAGTATGGTAAGATATTATTAAGAAAGAAGAGGAGGAAGAAGAGAGGCTACAGCTCTGATCTTTGTTTGAAAGGACTTTTTTCACTTGCATTGGGAAAAAGAGAAATTAGGGAGACAAAGAAACGTTCAAAGTTTGACCACAGCAGCCATTTTGTAACTAGGTAAACCTCACTCTGGCAGCCATTTTTTAATCACACAACATGTTTTCAAAATTCAGATGAGCTCAAAAAGGCTGCCTAAATTTGGGCTTCAGTATAGACATTTATATACAACAAAGCCTTAGGTTAACATTGTGGTATAAAAACATTTGATGATTTATCCTCCAACCAAACCAGCAGCTTCTTGAAAAGCTTTTCCGCATTTAGCAGATTTTAGCTGCCTGCCCAGCTTTTCAACTTCACAAGAAGCTCTCTTGAGCCTGCACACTACTAGAGTATAGATATTCTTGCTCTAAATTTGGGTCAGAGGTATAGCTGAATTTAGTACGAATAATTTGTACTGCAGCACTAACAGACTTGTTTTAGCAATATTTAGCAATATCTCCTCTCACACTTCAGTGTCATGCTTGCTAGCAGAACTACATTCTATATTGTAATCAAAAGGAGTGAATACATTACTTCAAGTAAAATATTCTACACTGCCCTATTTTTCTGAAGGCAGCAACATCTAAAATAACTAAATAATTACCTGCTCACAAAAGTGCTCAAATGTAATAACTAGGCTATTAAAGAGACACACACAATTTAATTTTTTAAGGTAAGGTAGAATTATCCTCTTTTAAAATAAATCCTATACCTAAGGACATCTGACAAGGAAATACCCAAATGGTAGAGTTTATTAAGGCAAACCCTGGCAGAAAGAACCACCAAATCCTGTCTAATATTCTTAAAAGGAAACTGCTGAAGTAACAAAGCAGTTGTGAGTAGTGAGCTCTTATTTGACTGGCAAAACTACAAGCTCCTCTGCATAATACTATGGTACCTCATTCGATAGCTGTTTTGCATGATCCAACATCCGCCAGATGCACAGGATTACACTGCTAAAATTCTCAGCCAGCTAAAATGTCTAAGAATTGTAATCCAAAGGAGGTGTTAGGTCGGAGAAGGCTAAGCAATAGCATATCAAAATTACTTTGGTGAAGTCCAAGGCACATTAATCACTATGCTTCTCTTCAAATAGCGTATCTTGTTATCATATAACTTTATCCAATATCCTAGAGTTGCAACCATGGGTTGTACTAACACAATCCTGAATTCTTAATTATAAAATAGCCAGTACTATATAACTCTTACCAGCTGACTGAGTATTAGCAACTGTGAGCTAAGTAAATATTGGCTTCTGGGGGAAAGGCAGGACAAAAACTGAGTAAATATCAACATATTAAATCTTCCTGTCTCATCATATTGTCTATGTGACGTATCAATTTGTTAATGAAATACAGTCAAGGATATGAAGGCATTCTAACTTATATGAAGTAGTGAGGCCATCCAGATCTTGCCTACAGCAGCTTAGTAGAAGAAATTCTGGCAACTGATTTCTTCAAATGGAAAAGACTAAAGATTACAGTATACCTTTTTATTAGAGTTCATAAATAAAAGATGAATTCACACTACAGTACCATGATGTAGAGAACTACTTCATCTAGAGCAGTAATGGCAAACCTATGGCACGCATGTCAAAAGGTAACATGCCAGACGTTTTGGGTGACAGACCAGTGTTTGCCAAACCCCAAAACAATTATTCTTAAAATCATATCCTATTCTAGCATGCTTTTTGGAGACTATGTGAGAATGAGGTATGCTCTCATGCAGCTCTGGAGTCTCTGGAAAATGTATGAAAGCAGAGAATGCTTCTGCACTATTTTCAGGTGCTGTAAAAGCCATGGAAGAGCATTCTTGGAAGCCTTGTGTGACCCAGATCTATCTCAGATAGGCCACAGGGGCCTGTCAACAGAAAGAGAACACCATCTGAAGGTAATTGGTACACAGCAGCTCCTGGGGATTACACATTGATTGGGCTCTATTTTTAAAAATAAATGAATATGTAAAGAAAAGTTTCTCTTTTGTTTGTGTGTGAGAGAGAGGTACACATTAGCAGAGTCAAGTCAGCCTAAATACGAACTTCTATGTTTCTAGTAACAGTAAGTGTCAACTCTGCTAACATCGGATGTTCTTGCTTTGACAACAGATGAAAATGCAGCCATTTTCTCTATGCTTTCAGAATTAGTTGGTGCAGGGATAGGGGATTGGGATGAGAGTTCAGTTAGTCATAATAATAATAACTCTGCCGTGGGAATCCAAGGACAGTGTCCTGAGCTGATAACGTTTTGGCGGGCTGGAGAGCTGGGGAGGAAGTCCGCACTTCAAGCTAATTGGGGAATGTGCTTTATGACTGTTTATTGGGGGGTGGGAATTGTACTTTGTTACTTTGTATCCAGGGGAGGGGAATTTAGTTTTTGGGTTCAACTATGTAGTGCTGATACTTTGTTTCCCGAATAAAAAATTATTTAAGGTAAACAACGCCTCAAAGTTCTTTTGAAGGGTTTTCTCTTTCAGAACCATGACAGTAAGAACAAAATGACAATAGCAGTATTTTGACTTAATTTACATGACTGAATTGTTGAAGGTGACCAAGAATTCATAAACAAACATCAGGAAATATATTCAGTATAAATGCATGCGTTAATCATTTAATAGTGTCCATGTGAATAACAAAGCTCAAATTAAAATAGTGTTCTCTAATGCCACTGCAACATTGTCTCCAAATTTAGTAACTTCCAGATGTGTTAAAGTTTCAATTCCCACAATTTCTGGTCCAATTTAATATATCTTAGAGCAGTGGCCCCCAATCTTTTGGGCACCATGGAGAGAGGTTTTTCGGTGGACCAGAGGTGCTGTGCTTTCATGTGCTGCCTGCATCCCATAGATGGGGCTTTGCTTGTTTGTGCAGCCCGGCTGCTGGCATGCTGCGGACCAGTGCCGGTCCACGGACTGGGGGTTGGGGACCCCTCTCTTAGGGCATCTGGAAAAA